TCGCATACGCGAAGTGGACTGCAATTAACAAAGCATAGATAAGAAGCATTTGCTTAAGTCTGAAGGTTCCTTATCATCTCGTTATTTTTGCAAAAGGCCCCCACAACTACCTTTCTAGAATCTGCATTGTATCATTTTTTTAAATTGCTCAGGGTAAATAGAATAAATAACAAACAATACTGTAACTTATTAAATGTCAGAATTTTTATCACAATTTACCTTATTGCTGGAAAAAATGTTCCATAAAAGTAATTATTTCTTGCTCTGTTTCAATCTGTCATTTATCTTTCCTGAAGTCCTCTGGTTAATTATCCACTTTCTGTGAATGGGCTAGTAAATTTAATCCTTAATGTTGCCTCCCCAAGACCTCATCAGAGAGAGGGTGTGAAGTACCCTTGACTCCTAGCATGCCATTAAGTTTCCCTGGAGGGCAAGGTGGGGGGGGGTGCATGCTCATGGAGGCCACATAAAATGCCAGGAAGGGCTGATTGAGGCCAGGGCCCTGGCAAAGGCCTTCCTTCTTAGCCAGGGTGATTCTTGCTAAAATGGCCATTCGAGAGTTGCTAGGAAAAAAAAAATAGATTTTTTTCATCCCGCCTTTATTACTTTATAAGTAACTCAAGGCAGCAAACATACATAATACTCCTTTCTTCTCCTATTTTCTCTGAGGTGAGCTAGGCTGAGAGAGCGGGACTGGCCAAAGTCACCCGGCCAGCTTTCCTGTCTAAGGCGGGACTCGAACTCCCCGTCTCCTGGTTTCTAGGCCAGCGCCTTCACCACTACACCAAACTGGCTCAAGTTTTTTTTCCCTCCAAGGATTTTTTTTTGTTTTGGCCCGGGGTGGTGGAATCAGAAGCTGGTTTTCAACAATGGAGGTCATTAACAAATGAATCAGCCCGCCTCCCGTGTGGATTCGGAGTCTAGGGAAAATGCACAGCCAGGCAGAATTCCGGAAGCCGCCTCCTGGGATCTTGCAGGCAGCAATTCCCGGGGCAAGGCTGGAGCTTCCCTCCTGTAAAATACACGCTCGATCACCAAGTGAGACCTGGTGGTTCTGAGGCCCACCGGGGGGGGAGGCCTCCTCCCCGCCCAGCCCTGGGATCCGAGGATGAAGAGTAAGAACGCTAAGCCTCCCTCAGCACCTGCCGAATGCCCAGGAGCGTTCTGATCCCATGATGGGGCTGATGGAAATTTATTTTATTTGCTTATTTTATGAGGCATTTTTTATTTCATTTCATTATTTCATTTTACGAGACGCCAACCAAATCTGAGCTGTTTTCATCTGAGTCACAAAGGTGGGAACTGTACACCTAAATATACCGCAAAAACAATAATACTCCAACAATACCATCCATGGCCCCAAATAAAGCCCCGTTCTTCACCGGGGGGGGGGCAATCACAGCATCCCGGCCCCCACGGCTTGAAGAAAAACCCTTTTTCCACAGAATTCCTAAAAACCAGGAGGGAAGGGCCCTTTGGAAGCCTGGAGGCACCTCTTCCAGAGGAGGAAGCCACCACCGAAAGGGCACCTTCCTTGCAGGCCCTGCGGGTGCGAAAGCATCCTCGCTGGCCTTACGGAAAGAAGGCGGCCCCGCCAGCGCCCTGAATCCCGAAGTGAGGGCCCCTGGGAATCGCGCCTGGGAGCCAGCAGGGAGCCACTTCTGCCCTTGCACAGAGGTGTCACTCGGCCGAGCCAACAGCTTGAGCCGCCGCACTCTGGACCGGCTGCACCTTCTGAAGGCAGCCCCGTGCAGAGCGCAACGGACCCAAGCGGCGGCTGGGGCACGTGTGGCGGTCACAGAAGATGCAGCTGTGCGTAGGCCCTCCTGCGCTCTTTCCTGACAAAGAAGCCCATGCTCAGCACAAGCCCAGGGAAAGTGCACAGGGCTAGAAGCCAAAGAAAAGATGCAGAACAGAATTGGTGAAGAGACTTTTCTTTCTTCTCCAAACAGGAAAAAACCCGTGGCTTGTAATGTTCAACTTGGCCGTTATTAAAAGTGATACCAGGCGGATCTAAGGGTGAATCCACTACGTTTTTGCGGTCTGATGGAGATCCCAAGGTGACCCCGTGTTGGCCCTTTTGATCACATGAAGGATGCAGCTAGTGAAGCAATTAAGAACGCCTGCCTGATTTTGACATATTACTAATGGTTAATTGGTCTTCAGTGTTTTGGCTTAAGCGCTCTCTGGAACGGAATTCCCCCAGAGGTCTGAGGAGCCCTGACCCTCCTGCCCTTTAAACCAACCTGTCTCCTGGTCCTGATGCCCACTGGAGAGCAAGAAGCGGTTCATTCCTGGGGTGCCTGAGAGCCTTCCCAAGTCCCGGTCACAAAGGCAAGGCCCCGCCTGCCTCCAAACTCTTGGCGAGGCACCTTTCCAGGGCTTTGGCCCTCTGCGTGGGGGAGGTGGACTGCAAAGTTCAGCTGGTGCACCATGAACTCTGCAACCATCCTCTTTGCCCCAGGGAGGCCTGCTACCAATGCCACTTGTGTGCTTGGTAAACCGTCATTAAAGAAACCATGGCCCCGTGCAAGGTATGAAGGCGGCCAATGAGTCTCACGGGAGACTGGTGTAGAGAGATGTGGCAATCGTAATCGTCATTTCTCAGATCCAAGGCCCCTCCAGGATCCTGAATGATGCAGCAAGGTAGGCTATGGCAGCAACTGCCTTTAAAACACACTAAAAACAGAGAACAGGAGGCTGACAGTCCCCGTAGACCGGTCCCCCACTGACTGATCTAACCTCCTTTAGCGACCATCAGCACGTTTTGTGGGAATGAATTCCACTGTGCAAAGAGGTGCTTTTTGGGGTCAGTTCTAAATCCGCTTGCAATCGACTTTATTGGATGACCTCCATCCCAGGAGTTTGAGAGGTGGAGAAAAACCGCACCCTCCCTGCCAGGCACAATGTTGTGTCCCCTCCACTGTTTTGACGTTATGTGCCAGCAATCTGGTTCCGTCTGGGTTCAGGTGAAGCCGGTCCCTTTTCTAGGGGCGGAACGACCTTCCCACCTTTTCTCAGTCTGTCTTTGGACTTGGTGACTTCACAGACATAGGTCATGGTCTATCTGCATTGCCTTTTCTGGCTGATGAGGTTTACCTTCGCAATCCGGTCTACAGGATTCCTTGGGGGCTGCAAACGCGAACCACATCTGACCTGACTTTCCCAGATTCCGCAAGGCTGGGCAGGTGCCGCGACCTGCTTTGGACTTCAGTGGCTCTGAAGGGCTTCAGCTGCGCGAAGGCCTGCGTGGGCCGGAGGGAGGCACGCTGGCGCAGCCCAGCACAACTGCCTCTGATGGGCAAGTCCTGTTCTCTGGACACTCTGTGAGGGTGCCCTCCTGCTGTGATAGACCCCTGGGGCTCCCCATGGTCCTGTGGGGCAGGGGCTACAGAACTGAGGCTGGAATGCAATGGGGCTGCCACCTTCCCTCTGACCAAGGAGGAACTTCCACATCTTTGCACAGGAAGACATCTGCAACAGGCAGGCAAGGAACAGGTAAGCCTTTTCCTGCTGGGGCGGGGGGCGGGGGGGGGGGCAGGGATCCCCCCAAGCACTTCCCCCGGCAGACTCTCCTGCTGGAAGGCCTTGCTTCTCCTGCACCTCTCCTGCCCATTAACACCTCTTCAGGCTCAGCTCATTCTCCTCCAGGGCTGCTAATTGCCTGGGGAGGGAGTGTCCCTAATGAAGGGAGACCTGTGAAGGAAGGAAGGAGTCACACAAATGCATCCTGCAGTTTTCCCAGCCACGGCTTCTCCAGCTTGCCTGTCATCTCGGGCTCCTGACCCTGCTCAGCTTTCCACCTTGGATGAGGCTGGCCGCCTCTTGGTCTTCCGCATGGCCTCGCCAGAGGTCCGTGGGCGGGGGCTGGGTGGTCGTCTGCCATCTGAGTTATGAGCAGGGACTGGACTAGCGGGAGGGAGGGAGGGAGGGAGCCCCTGAAGGGCTCTGAAGGCAGACCCGAGCCCCCTCCTGCCTTAACCCCTCGCCACACGGCCAACGCGCACCTGCTTCTCTTTCGATTAAGGTCCTCAGCAGGCATGCCAGCCTCAGCCCTCTGAATCCCTTTGGGGGCTGGCAACCTCAAGGCCAGCTTGTGCCCGTGGCCCAGAAGCGAACGAAAGCCCCAGCGGGCCGCAGGAGAGGCAACGCTGCCCGATGGTCATGGCCTTGCCCGCAGCGACCTTGACTTGCCGGAGATCTGGGGAAGTCGCTGTGGCGCTTTCCCA